GGCCTCTGGCCTTGCTTTTGCAGCTGCTTGATTCTGCCAGCAGCTTCCCTTGGGTCCTACTGCCCCTGACTTCTGTCAACTTTGATGGGCAGACAAATATTAAATTTTCTAATTTTTTTTTTAGGGGCCCTGTGGGCTGGATCCAGCCTGCGGGATGTATTTTGCCCGCCCCGGTCTATTTCATTACAAAAAATATGAAGTGCATTCTGTAATGGGAGACTTAGAAGCGAAACCAACTAAGGAGAAAGTTGGAAGAAAGAAACCCAAGTTTGCCTTCCCACATCTTTCAGTATTTGTTTGAAATATATATATTTCTACTTAATTATATATTTCATTATTGATTTACTGCATTAAGTACAGGGCCTTCTGAGACAAAGACGCACTGAAGCAGCTATAGCAGGGTTTCACATTTTGAGGGAAATCAAGCAGATGTGAACTTGACTATGGGATGCCAGGACTGTAATGAAGTCCTACGCTGCAAAATAAAAATACTCAACCAGGAGCAAAATTTAGGCCCAAATAATTCCAGGGCCAAACAGAGCTGTGGGGGTATCTCCCACTAATTTTAAGCAAGATGCACTTGCTTATGAAGGGCTAAATTTGTCCCCTATTTGTTTCAAAGGCCTGCTGCTAGTATCACTGGAGCAGACAACAGACACACTAAGTAATCCTCCACCTCCTGCTGCTAAATGGACAAAACCAGGAACTTGAGAACTGGATCAGACCTCCTGGCCATTGTCATAATCTAGCTTCCCTTGCTCATTTCTTCTCCCTCTTTTAATCAACCCATGATTAGCTATGAGCAATGTCTCCACAGCAACCTTAGTCATCTCCTGACCACAGAAGAGCATCAAGGAGGAGAGCTGTTGAAAAAGTGATCTTGTAATTCCAAGCATCTTCAGGAGACACAGCAAATGGCAGCTGTGCAGAAGGCCATCAGCACTGCTGTGCATAAATGGACCAGCATGGGCTGCCCCTTCCACTCTTCTGCCTGACCTTTCAGATAAAGGTTACAGAAACAAAACAGACAACCATAAGTCCATTGTGCAACAGAGCAACATCTGAGCTGCTCTGCTATAGGCAGGCTGGGAGCTCCGTTAGTGCAAACCAAATTGAACCACTATCAACTTACACCAGACCAAAATGGCTTCAAGATGATCATAAAATGACAAAACTTGGGGAACAACTGGGAAAGACAGCACACCAAAATCTGAAAGATTTGCAAGGCAGGTTCTGTCTCCTCCAGCAAGAGCCGATTTACCTGCATGCCTTGGGATCAGTGAAAAGTTCATGTGCTTTGTGAGTACATCACGTAATATGTTCCCAAACCCAAAAGAAACAAATGCCTTTCAAGAACAAGCCTGCTTTGATTGTAAGCTTCCTTTTAAAGGCAAGTTCTCTCAGACCTCTAGAGGATCTGATGGGGCCAAGTCTAGTACAAGGGGATTAAATGGAGCTAATATTGATGTACCTAAACAGGACATTGACAGAAACAGCCTTTTAAGACTGGACACTGACCAGTCAGCAGAGCAAAGAAACAAACGCAGGAAATTTCTGCTCTACCAACGGACATGAAAACACATGGAATAAAAAACAGTTCTAAAACAGTCAACCAACCACGCAGAACTCAAGGAAACAGGAGGAGCCACATAGCGGTCAAGACACAAAAGGGCTCTCTAAAGTCTGTGCGTACTCTTGGAAGTACACATCTGAGTTGCTGTGAAACAACACCCCCCCCCCAAATATGAAAAGGGGGCAATGGGGTTCCTATGATTTAAGTCAGGGGTTTTCAACGTTTTTTAAGGAGAGTACCCCTTCTGGTGGGTACCCCCTTCCGGACGTGAAGCAGGGGGAGAAAGGGTCCCCCCGGCAGCCAAACGCAAAGCAGCAACAGCGATGGTGTGGCAGCAGCAATGATGCGGCAGTGTGCAGGCACACGGCAACAGCAG